TGTAGTCGAACGGTGAGACGGACGTGTAGTTCAGTTTTGGGCACGCGTACGGTGCTGCAGGGATTATTATAGGTGTAGTAGAACCTCTTCGGGCTCTTGTATACCTTTTTCTTGCTACGTGTGCGTGTTCCTTAGATCCTCAGACGGCTCTAGCACTTTCGTGACCACGGGCCGAGGGCCTTTGCTAGATTTTGGCATTCAGCAACTGGCATACGGTTTAATGTGAAGTCAACAACAACAATCGTCTACAGTAGTAGTTTCTTATGATGTGGTGGCTAAATTAAGAGGGTTCACCAAAGACGTGCGGGAACACAACGGGAAAATATCCCTTCGTGGCACGGCCCAAGGAACGTTCCGGGAACACTCTCACCAAATTGAAAAATTGTATCTTCATCTTTTTGTTCACAGCAGTCCTTCTCAGACAACACGACGACCCGTGAGCCAAAGAAGCTGCAGATTTGGGCTTCGGACCACAACTTGGAGGTACTTTATTCCATAAAAATACGGATACAGTTGAGTTCGAGATAGCTCATTCTCATTTCTCCCTCGGACCAAGCACACACACCCACCAGCGCGCACGCTTTCCTTTCCTTTCTTCGGAGATCAAGGGTGCGCCGAGGCGAGATGAGTGTTGTTCAGGTGCAAGGGTGGGACAGGCCAAGCGGGTTCGTGTACGAGCCTATCGATGCAAAGACAGGCGGCTGCAGCCGACGACGGCGGCCGCGGAACGTCCTGGTCGCCTGCGCTCTTTTTTGCGCCGTCGCGCTCGGCATTGCCACAACAGCAGTGAAGTTGTCGTCCCCACTGGACCAGTCCACCGTGCAGGGGTTGGCCAACCCCACAACCTTAGCTGCAGGAGATGGTGGGGCGAGGTCACCCAAGCAGCAGGAGCAGCAGTACCAGCCGCGCATGTCGTTGTCGACGATGAACAGAGGTTCTCTCGGGGTGAGAGTATCGAACCACTACCAGCACGTCAACACGACGCATGGCACGACGGACTTGTCTACATACCCGTGGGAGCACGTCGCAGAGCCGTACCAAGCAACAAGGCTGGAGCTCACAAGCGTACCGGAGGGAGTCATAGGCGGGTCGCACATCAAGTGAGTACGCGTGTGTGTTCGTGGTCGGAACTGCAATGACTCTTGGTTTGGAAAGAAGTAAATCATCAACACAAGCGTATTACATGCATAGACTAGGCAAATATAGATACCGGGCGGGCTGTGTCGGTGTCGGACAGAACTTGAGTCACGCGTGAACAATGCGACTCGCTGCAAAGCTCGTTGTTAGTAAACTTGATCGACTTCACAAGTCGCTAGGGAAGGGATTGCTGTACCCTTCTCGCGATAACAATATCTCAGGCAGGAACCGCAGGAGTGGGTCCAACCCTCCCCTCGTAGGTGACCCCGGTTGGGTCGTCTTCTAGCTGGTAGAAGTGGAGGAGAGGGGCAAGAGGGGCAGACGACAGTGAGTGTCCCATGACGGGATAAACAAAACAAAACAAAAAATGCCGTAACGGAAAACTGAGACTGCGTTGGTTGTTTGCGTCCGGCACTGCACTCGATAACTTGATTTGGCCCACTGTGGGGCCACGCTGCTTCTTCTGTGTCGTTCCACGTGATCATCTATCTCATTGTTTCGCCCGAGGCCATGCGGATCTCCAAAATGACTGGACACCCCGAAATTGAGAAAATCGTTATCAGATACGAGTAGGGCGGCCGAGGCAGCACTTGTGGCAAACTATTTACCCGGCTGATGTTGTTGCGCCCTATTTCCCTCCCTGCTGTATGCTATACTTCCCCGTGTATGTCGTTTGTATTGCCTTCGGTCTCTGTGCTGTGTTCCTTTTTTTCATGACCTCCCTGCCTACTCTGCTGTGTTGGGTACCTTGATCTCGCCTTTGCTGTTGCCTTTGTTTTTGTACGTCTGGCTGTCTGCCCATCTGCCGCCTCTTTGTCCTGTTTGCTCCGTTACTCCCGTGCCTTGGTGCGTAGTGCCTGGTGCTGGTATGCCACCCTTTGATTTTTTCTTTGGACGGGTGTGGGAAGCGTCCTCCTTTACTTTATGTTTTTATTTTCATCGGTTTCCGCGGGCTCTTTTCTCGAACGGTCGGTGCGATACCACCTGTTCTTTCCATCATTTTGTTTTCTTTTTCCAAGTGGTTTGTACCCTACTTTTGTTTTGTTTCCCCGCGGCGTCGCATGTGCCGAGTTTTGAGACCACGGGCTCCCCATTTTTTTGTGGATTATAGAGCTAATAATGTGAGAAACACCAACAACAACATCAACAACAACCCCGACTCCTACTGAACATACCAGGTAGACTACTATTCCGTTTCTCCCATGCCCTGGTGCGTAGTGCCTGGTGCTGATGCGCTACCCTTGATTTTTTCTTCAGGCGGGTGTGGGAAGCGTCCTCTATTATTTATTTATTTATCCATTATTTATTTTTATTTTTATTAATAGGTGTGCGAGGGCTCTTTTTTCGAACGATCCTGCGATACCTGTTCTTTTTTCTTTCTATATATTTTTTCCTTGTCCGAGTGGTTTGTACCCTATTTTGTTTTGTTTGTTTCCCCGCGTCCGGGATTTGAGACCACGGGCACCCCATTCTTTGTGGACTATGGAGCTTATGTGAGAAACAACAAAAACAACCCCGCAGTCGACACGCGAGAGAAGATTTGACAAAATAGCAGTAGTGACGCTGTACTTCTTTCGTTTTGACGTGGGAAACAGCACAGCAGCGTTGCTTTGTTGCGTGGGCGGGGTAAAGACTTGGCACACACGCCTGGACAAGTTCGGATTCTTTCTCCCTTGCTCTTGTTACACGTTAGTTGTTGTTGTTGTTGTTTTCTTCACATTAAACTCGGGTCAGGTACTACTGCTGCTGTAGCCTAGTCTACACCGTGTGCAAACCTCGTTCAACGATCTATGTTCCCTGTTGTCCGTTGATGTCGTTGTTTCTCACATTATTGTTAGCTCTGTTGTCCACAAAAAATGGGTAGCCCGTGGTCTCAAAACCCGGCACATTCGACGCCGCGGGGAAACAAAACAAAAATAGGGTACAAACCACTCGGAAACAGAAAACGAAATGATAGAAAGGACTGAACAGGTACCGACCGCACCGACCGTTCCATAATTTATCGTGTACACGACGAGTCTACTATTAATGCTGTAATTCCGGGTGCCGGACCATCATTCGATCGAAATCCCTACAGCGGAAGTAGATACGCACGCATGCCTCTGATGAAACACTTGCGGCCGGTTTTTAAATGACGAACGGGTTTGTGTGTCCGTGTGCATATGCCGCTGGATTATGCAATATTAGGCTATACAGGGGCGCAAGGCCGCCGTTGGACGAGCTTGCCTGCCTGCAACTTGGGCGTTGCGTTCTACGAAGTATTTCATGATAAAAAATCAATCCCTCCCTTCCGTGGTTCTTAGTACATGCCAAAACGTGTTTGCGAGAGGCGAAAAGCGAGCGTTGTCGTTTTCTACGGCCGGTGTCACCAAGGTTTAGTCAACGGTCGCCCCGGTGGTCTAGTGGGTAACTTCGCAGCCAGCGAAGGGCCGGGTCATGGGTTGGAGTCCCGGCAAAGGGAGTTTTTTTCTCACAAAATAAATCCTGGTCTAGGATTAAAGCGACGCGTTGCAAAGCTCGTTGTTAGCAAACCATAACCGACTTCGTAAGTCGCGAGGGAAGGGATTGCTGTACCCTTCTCGCGATAAAAATACCTCAGGCAGGAACCGCAGGAGGGGGTCCAGCCCCCCCCTCCTATGTGACCCCGGTTGGGTCGTCTAGCTGGTAGAAGTGGAGGATCGGGGTCAACGTCAACCATTGAACCTTCCACACACACGCCTTCGTTCATGCGCCGTCTTTCTCTTTCCTAAAAACACGTGCGCGCGTGCGTGCGTGGGTGCGTGCGTGCGTGCACAATACACACAGCAAACTATGTAATCTGCCGGGCTCATGTACTAACTCCTCCAACGTTTGTTTACCTTCCTCCGTCCTCTGCAAGCTGCAAAGCTGGCATTCAGAGAGAAACGGAGTAGATTGAACGAAACGTACAACATTTTTTTATGAATGTCAGCCCTTGTTCGTTCGCGAAATTACGCCTGGTTTGCCCGCGAGGTTCTGTAAGCTACATTGAAGTCGACGGAGGCAGCTCGATCCCCGCTCTGCTCCCATGAAAAAAACATGAAATCGTCACGACAACAATGTCAGTTGTTCATGTACGTGATAATGCATAGTCAAAACCGACAGCATCCACCACGTCTCCTTGGTTCGGTCATAGACTTTTGCGCGCCGAAATATGCGTGCGACAGCTTTAACCTAACCACTTCGGTGGAAAGCGGATTTCTGTTCGATACGGTGTCGGGAGT